CTCTTGTCCTTGTTTTGCAGCCAACATCCCCGTGTTCATCACGGTCACCCCGGTGAATAATTACCCACCCGCGTGCGTCGGGCCGGTAACCTACAGCATCAGCGAGAGCGCAGCGTTCGGGGCCGTCGTGGGACAGTTCAATGCCACGGACGCGGACTATCCCTTTAACAACGTGCGGTACAGTATTGACGGAGCAGGGAGCCCGCCGGTCTTCTACATCGTCCCGAGAACCGGTGAGACCCGATCCGATTCATTTCTGATATTTATATAGTGCTGAAATAGGATGTAGCGCTTCACAGAGTACATAGATCCAGTCACATCAGTCATCCATGTGGGGGAGGGGGGACATACAAACTCCATGCATGTCATTCTGATATACAGCCATGATCCATCAAACAGCCATGATAACAGATTGATAACATGACACCCAGTGTCATTCAAACCACTTCCTGTGGGCTCGGGGTGTCAAGGCTCCGCCCACTTCCCTTCCTAATGTAATCCATGTTCCATCTGTTATATGCAGCACTGTAGCGTCCCAAGAATAGATGGAGATGTAGAAAATGGACTGAGATGGCACTAAGAGGACCTGTATTGTCCCCACATCTCTGCCCTGGTCATATTTACACCCAGTGAGTGTCGGAGATCGGGAATATGGGGAATATTACTCATCAATGTACCACCATTTCTACACACAGGGGAGATCAAACTGCTCGGCCCCCTGGACTTCGAGACAAAGGCCAGCTACAGCCTGAAGATCACAGTGGTGGATCTGAATAATGACATTGTGCCGGACCCCGCGAACCAGAAGACCGCGTTCTGCCCCATCACCATCAACGTGCAGGTGAGAGGTGAAGCTGGAGCCGCCGGACAATGGCGGAGACTCTCCGGGGATCCCTAGTCACACCGGACACACAAGGGGCTGATGTATAAAGGCTTCGCCTGGCGTATAGCTGGGTGATCGCTGGTCGCAGGGTGCCGTCCACATGGCATGGCTGCCACTAGATGGAGCTTTTATACATCAGCCTCTCACAGGATGTATTAAAGGAGAACTACGAGCTCAGGGCTTTTCCCCATAGTTCTCCTTAGGGTAACGGGAGGACACAAACTAGCGTCCTCCCGTCACCCTAGGCTCAGTATATAGGGAGCTACAGCTCGCGGTATACTGAGACGCCGCAGCCGGGACGGACCCCGACATTACTGTCGTGATCCACCCAGCTGGGTGATTGACAGCTGGCTCTGCCTATCTAGAGGCAGAGCCAGCTGTACCCCGTCCGTTCCACCAGTCAGCACTGGAGGATCGGAGCGGGGATTGGGGGAGTCCCTGCAGGGAGCCGTGAGTGACAGTCACCACTCTCTGCAGGGACAGGATCGAGAAGTGAGCGAACGCCGGTATGTGTTCTCTCACTTCCCAATCTACAGTATTGAGCCGACCTGTGACAGTCTCATTGTTTCAGGTCGGCTAGAACTATGAGGATGAGTGAAAATCCTCACCTCC